CTCATTTTTCAGTTGAGAAAATAGGGACCGAGGGTTAAGCAACTCACCTAAGACCACATGTCAAAGCAGGGACAGAGTTGGCATTGGAAGTCACTTTCCGGGAATCTTGGCTCAGTGCTTTCTCTAAAAAAAAATTATGAAATTTCACACAAAGAAAAAAAGGACAGATTGTAAGATAATACACACTAGGGAACCCATCACTTGACCTCAGAAATTTTGTAAGAAAAAATGCGGATAGAAGGGAAGCGCCCTTTGCAGCCCTTCCAGTTCCAATCCCTCACTTTCCCTTCTCTGAGAAAATCAATATCCTGAATTTGGTGTTCTACATTAACATACATATTTTTACCCCACATGTATTATCCATAAAAAATATGGTAGTTTTACATATTTAACTTTATATTATTACTGTTATTTTGCACGAGTCCTGTTATTTTTACTGTTTTGCTCAACATAGTTTTTACTCTATATTCATGCCAATATGTACATATATAATGTAGCAAGCTTATTGATTCTCTCCATGATATTATATTTCATGATTATATATCAGTTTATCCATTCTCTTTATGAATACTTAGGTGGTTTTTTTGCTGTTGTTTAATATTATAAACAATAAATGCAGTGAACATTCTTGTACCTTTCACATGATTACTTTCTTGAACCCCATTTGAAAAAAAGAATACTCTTATTAAGATAGGTATGGAGATTCAGTTACCCTGTCTAAATTCTGCGCTAGAGTAATGCAGGAGTGAGTAGACAAAGCAAGACTTACTGGCTATATTTACATTTGAAGAGATTCATTCTAAGTTTAAAAACCAATCCATATTCCCTGTTTACCAGGATTTTCAGTTGATTTATCAGGATCTATCATTAAATCTTGAAATCTCAGTTACTAATCCACAAACTAGTCATTACTAATGATACTTCCTGCCAGAACCAGACCTGAATTTCTGTAACCTCCAGGATTTTTGTCAGATTGAAAAAAACAACAAAAAAAACAACAAAAACTGGCAGCAACCAAAGTATTGAACTGGTAGAGATGTGCTCTGAATAAAGCAAGTTTTATCATTACAGAAATAGAAATAGTGGCCTGAAAATTTTAAGAACATCAAAATAACTTCCTTCTATAAAGTGTGCCCTGGGAAGAAGAGTGAAATTTCTATGGGACATCATGCCTGTCTATCCTAAAGTGCTATCTTTATGGGGTAGAAATAGGCAAAGGATGACCATTTATTTTCAGACCCTTATAGTCTGTTTTAAATGACTGATTAAAAAACCTTCATGTCAACAACGAAACTAAATTATTTTGAAAAATCATTGTACTTTATTCTGGATTCTCAGAATTCTGAAGAAGCTGGTTCATTGTGTTAATACTGGAACTGCCTTTTAGTACCACCAGCTAATTGTGAAGACACTAGCACAGATTTGGGGAAAAATTGCTGGTATAAGAATTTGGAGACTGGTTTTTTTTTATGACTGACTATGAACCTTGGGAAAGTCACCAAAGCATCTTAGACATGGGGTTGCCCTAAGTCAGTAATTTGCAAATTTTTTATGCTGACTCCAGGTTGTTACATCAATTTTGAGGGTTAGGACAGTAATAATAAAAATCATCATCATCATCACGTGGAATAGAACAGAATATATTCAGGGAACAGTGTATGTGATTAGGGTGAGTATTATTTCATAAAATTCTTGTTACAGAAGGGTATGTGTGTTTTTGCGTGTGTGTATAATGCTGCAGGTAAAATTCATATTCCGTATTCCTTTCAAAAAACATTCGAAAGCCATTTATACCAGGTGACTTCAGAAAGGACCTCAGGGGGCGCCTGGGTGGCTCAGTCAGTTAAGCGTCTGCCTTCAGCTCAGGTCATGATCTTGGGGTCCTGGGATCAAGCCCCGCATCGGGCTCCCTGCTCGGCCGGAAGTCTGCTTCTCCCTCTCCCGGCCGGAAGTCTGCTTCTCCCTCTCCCGGCCGAAAGTCTGCTTCTCCCTCTCCCACTCCCCCTGCTTGTGTTCCCTCTCTCACTGTGTCTCTCTCTGACAAATAAATAAAATCTTTTTAAAAAAGAGAAAAAGAAAGGACCTCAGGGACCTCTCAGATATGGTTATGTCCCTATTAAAATTCCCTAGTTGCTTCCATTTTTTTTTAGGATGAAGCCCAGATCTCCCAGCATAGCAAGCAGAAAAGGCCCTTAATAATTCCTGCCTCTGGGACCAGGCCCAGCAAGGACATAGCGAACTATGAGCTCCCTGCTTTGACAGTACGGCTTCATGTCTCCACACATTTGCTGACATTTTTCCTGGGCCTCAAATGCTTTCTGTAGCCACGAAGCATTATCTTTGCTAGAAACCCTTCCCTACCCAACTATTCTTTATGGAACTGCTTACTCCTTCCCTTGGGTCTCTATTACTATTTCTTACTTACTTAATGCCATAGGCCACAGGACACTTCACTACAGTTAATGATGGTTTAAAAATCTATCTCCCCCTACTGAATTGTGAAGACTTTGAGGTCAGCTCTTTGTATCCTAAGAATTTGGGTTCTTTCCTTTTCTTATGCATATACTGTGTTCTCCCTTTCTCTCAAAATAATTTTATTCTTTAAAAACAGCACACGTTTATTTTAAATGTCTCAAATGACATGAAAAGGCAGTTGAAAAATCACTCTAAATCCTACAGCCTAACAATGACCGATGTCTCTCTCTGCCTACATGCATGTTTAGAGAGACATAAGCACCCACATGCACACACATACAGTGTTATACAAATAAATTCATTCATTGATCTGACCAGTTTTTCCTTTCAACGATGTCAAGGACACTTTCCCTGTTAATGATATACCCGTACATAGTTCTATATGGCTGCTTAAATTTTAGTTCATTAAGGGCAAAGATGTTAGACCTGACTTCTTGTTTCTTTTATTCTGTGAGTATGAATTAAAAAGTGGCATTATTGTCCTTACTTCCTTTGGTCAGTTATAGAGTCTTGAGCTGGTTTTGTAACTGTCTTCAAGGCATTCTCTTATGCCTTCTTCCCTTTATCTTTGGGCTGTGTCCTATTAAAATTTCTGTATATCAGAGAGTCTCCTACCAAGCAATGTGATGTTTTTAGTCAAACTTTGTCTTTTTTTATTTTTATTTTTTATTATTATTGTTATGTTAATCACCATACATTACATCATTAGTTTTTGTTGTAGTGTTCCCTGATTCATTGTTTGTGCATAACACCCAGTGCTCCACGCAGAACGTGCCCTCTTTAATACCCATCACCAGGCTAACCCATCCCCCCACCCCCCTCCCCTCTAGAACCCTCAGTTTGTTTCTCACAGTCCATAGTCTCTCATGGTTCGTCTCCCCCTCCGAGATAGCACGAGGGGAAGAATGAAGGGCGGGGGGAGCCTTGTCTGTCTTAAGAGAATCGTCTATAGTTATATTGTAAGGGTTTGACTTTTGATGGTTTTTCCATTTAGAAACTAATGCAGTGGAATCATGCATATATTTTATATGAATATTTTTAATCTCATCACCCTAACATAAGGATGCATCTCAATTGTACCTGACCTTCCCCTATTCTGTGGTCATGAAATTCAAGATGATATATAACTGTTTTCAATGGATATTTTTATTTTACCAACCACTTTCACTCTTTGGCAGATACAGATTGCTAGTATAGTTCATTAGGATACTTACTCTCTGGAGCTAAGATCAAGAACTACTCAGATGTATTATTTTAATAAAATGAAACATCTGGTACAGTTTTGGAAAGTACAAAGTCACACTATGATTACAGCTTATTTGTGTTGTGTGTGTGTGTGTGTGTATGCATGTGTGTGTGTGTTTGTGAGAGAGAGAGAGAGAGAGATCTGATTCAAGAATATATCAGTTTTGCTTCACTGTTACTGGAGAGCCTACATACAGTCCATGTTATTCTTATGGATTTTCTCCTGTTTTCAAACTCAATTAAAACTCTTAGGAATTCTTCATCCTTCAGGTTGTAGATTCAACATTAGAGCACATTTTCATACTGTGCAGCATTAATCTAATAACTCTCTTAGAAAGCCTTTTTGTTTCCATCTCCATATTCTGACCCCATCTCACCAAGTGTCAGGGACATTTGTGTCATGATGTGCATTGCCTTAGGTTTTAATATAAAATGTGTGCCGTTTATTACCTATGCTTTAGTTATTAGTAGGTAGAGATCTGAGCATCAGTCATTTCCTGCTCCCTATCTAATTATCTCATATAATTAACTATCACCTCTCATGTTTTCCTTCTTTCCATGCTGTACCTGTCCTCCTTAGTAGCAATTATTCTCAACCAGGATAGATTTTGCCCTCGAGGAACATCTGGCAATGTCTGGAGACATTTTTGATTGTCACAGGAAGGGTACTACTGGTTTCTAAATGGTAGAGGTCACTGATGCCACTTAACATCCTGCAATGCAGAATATAGGTCCATTCCCTGCAACAAAATGTAATCCAAGCCAAAATGTCCATAGTCCTAAGGTGAAGGAATCTTGCTGTAGAAACTGACTTCCTGTGTTTTATTTGAACCTTCACATTTCTTCCACCCCTGAGGTGTTCAGTTTAAAGTATCCTCTTGATTCAGACTAGCTACTTAGTCCGGAAAATGGTTATATTTAGATGTAAAATTATATCTCACGTCTCATCTGTGTCATGCTTTGGTTGAAGGGAGGCTGCCGTCATCATCAAAAATGTTTCCCTTGTTGGTAAAATAATAGTATATGAAAACTGACATTACCACAATAGCACAGAATAGGTAAAGTAGGAGGCTGAGGCATATTTCTAAGTAAAGAATAAAGCTGGAGAGATTGATATCTAGGATTATCCTCAGATTAATAAATATGATTATCCTCAGATATTCTCTGCTCCAAATGTTATTTGTTGTTATGGAAATTCTATTTGTACATATATTGAGCAAATCTCCATGGGCAGCTTCATACTAACACGATCCCCCTTTCTTTCTCCTTTTTTTCCCCAGACATTTCACATTTTCAAGAACAAAATGATTTAAAAGGATTACTAGAAAATCTCCATCAAAATATCCAAGTCAAAAAAAGAAAGAATGTAGAAATCATGTGGTTGGCTGCAACGGTAAGCACTCTCCAGCCAGATCTTTGTCCTTGTCACCATGATGACCAGCAAACATCATAAAGTATTTGCCGTGTAGGGTCCAGTCTCTGCACTTTGGGTTACCAGATGTCATTCTCCATTACCCAGGGGTTTAGGCATTTTCAATGCTGTCGGTAGTTCTATCAATACACTAGAACACAAGATGGAAGAAGATGCACTCAACAAGAAAGAATTTTACCTATTGGCTTTTCTTGTATATCCTGGATGTTGTTTGACACTTTGAGGCTAAAATGAAGTGTCTGTGATTTTCTTGATAGTCCATGTTTGCGATGTCAGTCGCCCATATCAATCAGGATTTTGAAGTGCTACTCTAGAGAAATGGTTGCAACAGAATGTGGTTATCAGATCTTTGACTTGGCCTCAGTAAGGCTCCTGGACATCTTGTTCAATTAATGAGCTTGTAAATGCGTTTGTTAATTTAGATATTAGCATAGAATTTATTACTGATGGATTGCTCTTGGGGTAATGAGCTATATTTTCTATGGTTCTTTCTCATTTAATGACACCCTCAGGGCAGAAGTTCTGCCTTATTTCCCACCCCAGGTTTCTACCAGAGTGAGGGAGAGAATAATGCCTGTATTTCTGAAACTCTTGTCTGGCGACAATTCAGGCATAGCTCACATGAACTTACGAATTTTGTTAAGCATTCAGACCCAAAGATCCTTTCCTAATGCAAGAATCTTTTCATCAGAAAAGGCCCACATTGGAGATCTTTATGATGAATGCCATATTTGTAGTTCCTATACAGTGTTGCCTTTGTAATTTGGAGTTCGGTAACCGATTTCCTAAAATAACTCTATTCATTCTGTATCAAGAGCATTTAAAACAAAGCCTTGTCCCTATTGCCAGTGTTCAATTATAATCCAATATTACTTACTCTCTTCTGGGAAAAAGGAATGGATAATTTACCAGGAGTCTATATAAAATAATTTACCAAGAGCAAGGCAGAGGAAAGCTGCTTTAGCTTCCCTTCATGCCCTCTTGGAGCCCCAGGGAAGAACATCAAAGGTAACAATATGAAACATTGCTTTCAGGCAGCTCATTTACACTGGTCCCATTTAGCACCATACTGCATTACAGGAGGGTTGTTTTTAATAGTTTTTCCCCCAGTGGTGGCTGCTTTTTATGTCTTCAAAGACTCCTGTGGTTGTTAATTCTCACAAAAATTTCACAAAGGTAGGTCATGAGCTGTTTTTGCTATTTTTGCTAATAATGGGATAACAGGAAGGTAATTTGATCATTTACCAAGGCTTTCTGACAACTTAGGAACATATACATATGTCACTATATACATATCATGAAGTTGTGTCTCAATTGATAAATGAAGGATATACATGTGCAAACACAAGTGTATATTTTCTCTTAGTTTATATAGTTTTACCATTTGAATGTATAAAAAAGTTTTCCCATAAATCTCATTCATTTCCTGAAAATTCTTTTTTGAAACTTAAACACTGACTAAATATGGCTTTCTCGCAGCTCAACTGTTGAATGGATGATTGACTGCCTTGATAAATACATGGCACCCATAATGTGCAAATTTAGCATTATGTAGGAACACTGACATTATTATTACAGCATTTCTGTAGCTGATACCTCAGTTTCAATATCCTTTTTGTAAATCAAGGACTTGGATAATACTTTTAAAATAAAAAAATATAGAAATTCCTTTTGACATTTTCCAAAAAGCTTTTATTTGTCTCGTTTCATTCTCCTCTCTTTTAAAAATCTATTAATTATATATTACTGTGTTAATATTTGACATTCTCATTTAAAAAAACAACACTATTTGGTTTTGTCTTGATCAAATTTTAAAAATAAAAAATGAGAATTTAAAGAGACCACATGCCAATCAAGTATATTAAATTAAGTTCATATGGTTCAAAGGAGCTATAGAAATAAGGAAACCAAGACCCAACCTGCTCACTCTGAATTGCCCCGCCTCCTCTTTATGTTAAATGTAGAACATTAAATATCCTTAGTAGGATAGTTGCATATACTAGAGACAACACATTTTAAAGAATATTCATTCTTTTTAAAAATCATTATCTAGGGGCACCTGGGTGGCTCAGTAGGTTAAGCATCTGCCTTCAGCTCGGGTCATGATCCCAGGGTCCTGGGATCCAGTCCTGCATCGGACTCCCTGCTCAGAAGGGAGCCTGCTTCTCCCTCTCCCTCTGCCCCTCCCCCTGCTTGTGCTCTCTCGCTCTCTCTCTCTGTCAAATAAATAAATAAAATCTTTTTAAAAAAATCATTGTCTCATAAGTGGCCATTGAGGTCTATATTTCATTATTATGAATATGAATAGCCAAGTCTTTGTTATTTTATGTAGAAATACTAAAATGTAGAAATACTCTTTATTTGAAAAGATTAGAGTCTTCCAAATGAAAAAAATATTTTATGGTGAAATCTTGCTATATTTCTCTAGTCACTTACATTGGAAATAGTGAGAAAATACTAAAGGTCTAATAAGGAGTTGTAAATCCTAGTGTAAGTATCAGAATCGCAATTAAAACATGGTAAAAACCCTTGATAAACTGTGTTAGTATATCTTTTCCTCAAAGCAGATTAACTGTTAAGGCCTCCTTGACAGCAGGTAATAAAGCAAGACTGTATTATATCACATTAGATTTATTTTAAGTGCATGTTGATTAACATTGTTGATACTAATGTAGTGTTGGTCTCTCATATCAGAGCCCTGCCATGGGACAGGGAAGAGAAAGGGAGAAAGGAATGGAATTATTCACCTGTTAACCATAAGACAATGAGGCAAGAGATTATTGTGGCTCAGAGATTTTTCTCTTGAATTACATTGGGATAACAAAAAGAAAGAATTTGCAAAAAGAAACAGAATAGAAGGGAAGCTAAAGGCTTGGTCCTTGGCATTAGGCAAACCTACATTAGCATCCTGGGCTCTGTTCAGTTGTGCCCAAGTTACTAACCTAGCTAAGCCTCAATTTTGTCATCTGTAAAATAAGAATGATTACATCTTCCTCCAAGATTCATGTGCGGTTATTGAAAGAGCAAAACTAGGGGCACCTGGGGTGCTCAGTCAGTTGAGCATCCAACTCTTGATTTCAGCTCAGGTCATGATCTCAGGGTTGTGGGATCAAGCCCCGTGTCAGGCTCCGCGCTTAGCTGAGAATCTGCTTGGGACTTTCTCTCTCCCTCTCCCTTTGCCCCTCCCCCCATTGTGTGTGTACCCATGCACTCTCTCTCTCTCAATAAATAAATAAGTAAATAAATAAATTATTTTTAAAAATAATTAAAAGAGCAAATCTATATGAAATTTATTAGCATTATACCTGATACAGTAGATGTGCACTTAACAGCGACCCTTTGGTGCCTTATTTTTACTAGTTGCATTGATGAGTGGCTAGTGGTTCACTTATCTGCTTCATGGCACCATGTAGATGTTTGAAGTCTCATAACCTAAAGCCAAAACTTGCAAAGGTTTCTTAAATGTAAAGTAAGAAGATGTTAGCTATATTAGAGGGGAGGGGGGTGGGGGGATGGGTTAGCCTGGTGATGGGTATTAAAGAGGGCACGTATTGAATGGAGCACTGGGTGTTATGCACAAACAATGAATCATGGAACACTACATCAAAAACTAATGATGTAATGTATGGTGATTAACATAACAATAAAAAATTATTAAAAAAAAAAAAAGAAGATGTTAGCTATTTAGGATTCAAACCAAGTGTCTGATCCAAGAAGTCTAGTTTCATTTTCCCTTCACAATTAAGGTGTTGCTCCTAAGTGGTGATTATTACTGTCATCCGCTATGGCTCAGGCCCCCTCTCAGGGTAGTGACCATCTCATATGGCTTCAACAGCCCCACACCTCACACGTCACATAGAAAGAACTAAATAAATTCAATCTGTTCCCCTGGCTTTTGAAATGAAAAGATAATGTGTTTCATTTGCTAGGGCAGGTTGAACCAATTGACTATCATAAATTTACATAAATTTGGCATGTTTAGGTAAGAAGTGTTTATAGACGAGTCCGACACTTTAGAGTCATCTACAGATGGGCAACGAGCTGTTTGTATGTCTGTGTTGCAGATTTGTCGCAAACTCAATGGCATTCGTTTCACGTGTTGCAAAAGTGCCAAGGACAGGACATCGATGTCGGTGACTCTGGAACAGTGCTCAATCCTGAGAGACGAGCACCAGCTACACAAGGACTTCTTTATCCGAGCCCTGGATTGTATGAGAAGGTAGCCTGCATGTCTGCAACTTTCTTTCTTTTAAGGCCATTTTAAAGTTGGGGGGCTTTTGTTTTCCAAATATGTATTTTACTGGCAGTCTAAATAGTGACTTCACTGCATTTCCATGGCTCATAGCTCATGGCATGAAAGATAAAATAATATTAAGCATTCCCCCTACTCATTTGAGGCAATAAAAGAGAACGTGGCTGGATTTTGATAATAGCTTATGAACTCATTTAGATCTAAGTTTTAAAGGGCTCTGGTCCTTTCATATATAACTTGAAGAACAATTTCTTTATATATTAGTAATTATGGAAATGTGCAACATGAAACTCTGTCGTTATCCACAGAAAATCTCTCCTGACCGCAACTAACAGGTGATCCTCGCAATGTCTTGTAGGGTCTCCAGGTCGGTCATCTCCTTCCTAAAATTATTTTCACATCACTCATCATAAAGGTGGGATGACACAGATACTTTAGAATAGAGAATTAATATTGTTCCTCTGCCGACATTTAGAATGCTATGCCTGAAGTCATGTTTCTTGATTCATTTCCACAGTAATTAAATCTAAAGTCTAAGCCATAATGGGGAGGAAAAAGTGTCTCATTCACAGTGTCTGTCAGGAAGGACACACATTAATTAAAAAGTTAAACGTAATTGTCTTTTTGCTGCAAAGACAGGCTCAGAAGCACACCAGATAGCATGGGACACACTCTCGTATTTCCAGAAAGGAATGTCCTGTTGCTCTAGAGAGGGCAGCTTCCTATCTGGCATATCATTAGCTCCCCCCCCCCTTTTTTTTTTAACGGCTGCAGTCTTTCAGTGGGGATGTGGACGCTTGCCTGCGCATGCCTCGTGCCTGCATGCTTTCCCCACTACATGAGAGATTTCTGGAGCCCTCTCTGTTTCCCCATTTCATGTCGCTTGGCATTTTCATTGTTCAGTGGAGTTCTATTATGATTTCTTGATAAATGTATGAGGATGTCTTCAAGGCCTGACATGAACATCTCAGCCATATAAAATGCACTTGGTTGATACAAAAAAACTTCTTTTAAAAATAATCTCTCAGCACTAATGGGAAGAATTCAGAATCTGAAGCTGAAATCTTCTAAAGTGAAGAAGAAGAATACAAATATCACTATGGTTAGAGCAAAGGTACTAGGTGGGGAGAAGAGGAACACATGATATCATAGGCCAGATACACACCAGAGGACTACAATGATTCAACAAACACGAATTATCTGGAAGATGCAATTGTTGTTTATTTAAGGCAGAGATAAAAGAGGACCCTTAAATTAGAAAGATGATTCTTTCAAATTGGTAAATAAAAGGTGTATCATATACATGTTAAAATATAAAACTAGATAGTGTGGTATTGCATAAAGGTTGTATAGAATTGACATTATATATGTAACATACTTGCTCACAACATAACATTTATAGGGTTCATTTTTGGATTGTTAAAAAATGTAACATCTAACAATTTTAATCTAAAAACACTGAAGATCTTAACTTCTATACCACCACTTCTCTGGGGGATCTATATATATATATATTTATATTTATATTTATTACATATTTTTTTATAAATTTCAAATCTGTCAAATTTATCATTTGGTTTTGTGAATGCACGAGAGCTGTGTGAGTCTGTGAGGGCACGCGTGTGTGTGTGTGTGCATATGTTTAAGGGAAATGATATATGTCCTTTCCTTTAATAACTGCCATAATTTCCTTCTTTGGATATTCTGTATTGTAGTACAAGCCTATTGGTTTATGGGTTCTGGCACTATACAGTAAATGAGAGCATGGGGTTTGGGAGCCAGCTGACCTGAGTTTTAATGCAGCCTATATGCCACTTACTAGCCATTGGCAAGGGGTTTTTTGTTTTGTTTTGTTTAAAGCTTTTATTTATTTATTTGAGAGAGAGAACAATGGGGTGCACAGAGAGGGAGAAGCAGACTCCCCGCTGAGCTGGGAGCCTGATGCAGGGCTGGATCCCAGGGCTCTGGGATCATGACCTGAGCCAAAGGCAGACGCTTAACTGACTGAGCCACTCAGGTACCCCAGCCATGAGCGAGTTTAATGTCTTACTGCCTCCTACCTGGTGCCTTAGGCAAGTTAGTCAACCTCTTGATGCCTCAGTTTCCTTTATCTGCAAAACAGATGTGATAATAATAGTAGCTCTTCGGAGGAGTGTCTTGAGGATTAAATGAATTGATATATGTAAAGTGATTACAGAGTGATTACTGTGTAATATTTGTTAAGTAAATAAAAAATAAATATCGAGAGTCATGATGTTAACATTCTGATCTCAGGTATGGTAAAATATAATCACTATGGTCCCTATAATCTTTGTGAATATATTATGACAAGTTTTCACTCTAATACCATATATTAAAATAAAGTCTACTGCCAGTTCTAATAAATAAGGTTTCAAATGCAATGCTTTATCTATTCAAGAAAATAGTTCTTTAAATTCCACCTTAAAGTGTGCGTGTGTTTACAAATGCTGTGCTAATTATGGATGGATTGTATTCATTAAAGTAGGCCTGGATAGGTTTCTTGTAAGTATTTTTATGTTAATGTGTGTTATTGTATGCCCTTGGAATTTGAGTCATAGATTTGACATCAAAGAGTCACCCTAGAAATCTAGTCAAATCTGCTTTACTTTATAAATAATGAAACTGAGCTCTAGAATGTTTTGGCAAAGACTATTGAGACAGAAAGTATCAGAGCACTGGAACATAAGTGCCCTTGTCATATTTTAATGTTATTTTCTTTGTACCAAATGAAACAAAATACTATCACTTAAAATTATTTGGTAATGTATTTGACTCCCTCAAATCTGTTACTTAAAATACAGTTGACCCTTGACCAACACGAGTTTGAACTGCATGGGTCTACTTACATGTGGATTTTTTTTATAAACACAGTACAGTAAATGTATTTTATCTTCTTATGATTTTCCTTATAACATTTTCTTTTTCCTAGCTTACTTTATTGTAAGAATACAGTATATAATACGTATAACATACAAAAGATATGTTAATCAACTGTGTATGTTATCAGTAAGGCTTTCTGTCAACAGTAGGCTATTACTAGTTAAATTTTAGGGGACTCAAACATTATACATGGATTTTCCACTGTGCAGGGGTTTGGTGCTCCTAACCCCTGTGTTGTTCAAAGGTCAAGTGTATTATATAAGTCATATAAATCATTAAAAACCAGGTGCTTTTAGGAATTTGAGACTGTGTGTTAAGACTAGAGAAATCTGCCCCAAATCCTGAGACCTGTGAAGAGCAGACCCTAGTTCTAGAATATGAACTATTTAATTTCAGCCTTATCTATTATGTCCACCATTGTACTGGGGCATTGAGCACAGCGTCTGGTCCAGAGTAAAGCAAATATAAATAGGGGTTGAATAAATGAAGAACAGTCCACATAGGAATTCATTCTGCTGCCTTCTGTTTTTCACAACCATGTAACAATTTTGTCTTTTTCTTAAATTATGTTTTCAATTATATTCAAGATAGCAATTTGGTTCTTACTTTTATGTCTAAGCCTTGTTTCCTGGGGTTGTCCTTAGGTGTCTGTAGTTCAGTGGTTAATGATAAGCCAGAGGTTGCACTCCAACAACTCAATCCAATAAAGCTTACAACCTCTTTTGATGTCAGTTGTGGATTGTGAACCTATTCAGAGTTCAGGAGTTTTCAAACCTGCTCTGCCTTTTATTTCCACCAGACCTGTTAGGTCCTCCTAGTTGGCCGGGATGTGTGAAAGTTTATCAAAACCCTCCATGGCTCTCTCATTTTCAGGATCTCTGGTTAGATGAACAGCTAGTCATCTGGGAGTGGCCCCAGTGGGACTGCTATCTCAGGCTAGCTAAGAGGTTGACTGTCAGCATCCGTTTGCCTGCAAGAGCCCTGCTGTTTTTGGACAATGCATGGGAGTGGCATTTTCCGCTGTCCGCATTCAGGGCAGTCCAGCGCACCGCCAGCCCACCAGAGTAGAACTTGAGCTGAGAGGGGCAGGAAGACCACACACTTCCCCTCCGCTTCCCCACTGTGGGTAGTTTTCCAAGAAGCAACAGTTCTCAGCATGTTGCTTGATTTCCGTTGATTACCAAGGTCCTGAAGTGGTTGATTTGACTGTGTTTTCCATTCTCATCGTTTTTTGGGAGAAAGAGGATTTGTAGAACTCCTCGGTCTGCCATTTAGGAAATCCCACCCTCAGACAGTGGCTTTAAAAGGTGCCTCAGACTGCTTCTGGGGCTTTTTAAAACTATCTATCTTTGGATCCCATATGATTGATAATTGGGAAGATCTGAGGTAGACCCAGGGGTCTAAATTTTTTAAGAATTTTAATATTCTGGGACACAACCTTAGATTTTAAAAAATCAGTGTTTTAAAGGACTTTGATTTTTATGCTTTTGAAAATACTGGTTTTTTACTTTATTTAACATCAGTTGCGGTTTATTTTACCATTGAATTATTCTAACCACCTTTCAGGCTTTTTGCTCTGGATTTTTTTAAAGTTCACCAAGGTTATAATATCATTGCTGTTTTGGGGGTTTTACTTTTCCTTATCTATATTAAATTTTTCTATTGCATTGTGCTTCTCTCTGTAAGTTTCAGATTATTTATGGATAAATGAAATGTAATAGATAAAGAGAAATAAGTAAAGCTTCATTTGGCTGCTTAGTCAGAAACTCCCTTGGCAGAATAAGCTCCATGAGAGCAGGTATTTTGGTTCTGCTTTGTCCATTGCAATCTTCCCAGTACATGCCTAGTGATAGTAGGTGCTCGATAAATACTCAGTGAATGGGTAGATGAATGAATGAGTAACACAGGTTTATAAAATGTTCAGGTCATCTATATAAGGAGTTTTGTGCATACATAGGCATTTAGAATTAAACATGAGATTATTACTCAGTTGTGACATATTTATCAACAAAAGTTCCAGAAGACGAAATTGAAAGCTTTTGGAGACATTTTGATACCGATTCAAA